TATTCAAGAGTTACTGAAGAAAATTTTTCTTCCAATGTGGGGTCTTAAAATTAACAAACATAATCCCTTCAAATTAGTGATTTCTAATAGGGTACCTACAACTTTGACCCTGAACCCACCTGGTGAAGAAGCACCTGTGCCATTAAGTGGCCACCTGCAATAAGTCCAACAAAGGAAATAAGAGAAAAAAATCAAATAATCAAAACCGGTTGAATGCTTTATCATCTACTGACAGATAAGTAGTGTTGCAGTTAGATTTACAGAAGATTCAGACGGGGCATGGCTGTACAGATTGAATCAATGAACTTATTTCCTTTGGTCTAGGCTTTGAGCAACTCTCCAAGACAAGACTACCTGGAGAGAAATGACATGTATGGAGAATTCTGATCATCAAATTACAGAGAGAAATCCATCTAAATCCCCTCCCTCCCGAGTTTCTGTGAAATAGAGTCTGTATTTCATGGAAATTAGAATAATCTCTCACTTTAGGAACCAGAAGAATAACCATGGCAGTTCTGAGGTTGAAGAAGACAGAATCCTCCAGTGGAGGAGGGAGAATATGACCTACTGAGACTCATACTATGTGACTGACATGAGAAGGACATAGGATATTCATTAACCACACTCATAGATGAGTCTGGAATACTCTTTCTTTGTAGGATTATTTCAGAGACAGGGAAAAAAACCACCACTACAGTTTTGTGGAGTCATCCTGGAACTGTGGTTCTGGATAGAATAAACAATAGGAAAGAGGAGAGCCACCTTCCGGACTTCCTGGCTCTGTTTCCCACTCACCTTGTATAGTCTCTTTATCTGCTGTCCATATTGTGAAACCTAAGACCACTGACAGGCTAAGAAAAACCACACTTCCCTGAAGATATTTATAGCTGCACTCATTGCAAACACACTGCAGGTGGCTACTCTTGGTTCTCAACTTGACTATATCTGGAATTAACAATACTCAAAATTACAGAGCACACCTGTGAGAAATTATTGTTTAAGTGGGCAGATCCCCTTCAAATCGGGACTTTTGAGGTAATGAAGACACACAACCTTAATCTGGATCTAGAGGCTGGGAGACACACCTTTACTTCTGCCACTTCATTAATAATTACACATTACTCATTACTTACATATTGTCTTTGAATCCATGTCTTTGTTCAACTATGTTTAAAAATTACAGAAAACTGAAATTTTGTTTTTTCTTTCATTTAATGTTTATTTGTTTTAGTTTTTAGAGAGTAAGTAACTCAAGTAAAACAACTTCATCTGAAATAACTGTGCTTCCCTGGTTCTACTTAAACTCCCTGAGAATTCCAGGCTGCCACTGCACTGTGAATATAATTCACAGTAGGACAGCAATGTTTCCAGCTTCAGAATCTGTCCTTTGGGGAGGGTGTTATATATGAAAGAGTGAACATTGTGTTAGGGAGTTATTGAGATTGTTTTATTCTTATAGAGGGACACTCATGTGGTATACTCAGACACATCTATCAAACTCTCTGGATATCTACAACCTCAGTTTCCCAATGCAGGCCTATGTCAGAGAAGACTGCTTAGAATATCACATTTATTACACATTCAGAGAAAACATACTTATTTTGATACATTTCTAGATGGGATATTGATTTACTGTTCACAATAACCTTCCTGTACATAAGCAATCCTGCTAAGTCAATCACAAGGGTATCTTGAGCTGCAGGTGGTAACCACCACACTGAATGAAAAACAACTTTCAACCTGATTTTCATTTTGTCTTTTACTGTTTTTGAAATGGTGTGTCCTACACAGCCTTGGTTGTCTTGGAACTCACTCTATAGACCAGATTGGCTCAAAAAAATAGTGATCTGCCTACCACTGTCTTCTGAGGACTGTATTTAAACACTGGATTTTTTAAATCATAAAATACACAATAATAAGTTGTTTGGAATGGGGATGAAGAAGAGATATTGAAACATGCTTTTAAGTGGATGGAATGTTTGTGGTTCACCATATGGGCCCTAGCACTTGAGAGCCTGGTGAAGTGGAATCAGGAGTCATCTGGCATGGGATGTACACTGAGTTGTACCAAAGCAGAAAGAGATGGAAGAAAACTTCAGGGAGACATCAAGACATTTCTCTTGATCCCATTCTGTGTCTTTCTGTGTCTGTATCTGTCTCTGCCTCTGTCTCTGCCTCTCTCTCTCTCTCTTCCTCTGTCTTGAATGTTGTTTGCATTTGTATTTATACGTCTTTCTATGTGTTTCAGGTTTTTTTCCTATGACCAATGGCTTTCTCTGGTAATGATGACACTTCTGTATCCACTGTTGGGGGCCTGAAACCTTTTGGCTGGGCAAGGTCCGGCAGACAGCCTCCTGCCTGAAATTAAAGATCCACCTGACCCACTCTGTAACAGATTCTATGAACATTTCCAGTCCTACAGCCTCATGGGTGGGTCTCAGTTCCCCCATGAGAAGCTTCTCTCCTCTCCAGGAGCATGCTCATGGGATCTCTCTGGGCTGGCAAAGTAGAGCATTTCTTTTGGAAATGAGGGGTCCTGCAGTGACCACCTACTTGCATTTCAAATGACACATTTGAGGGAAGTTGTATCTGCCACCCTGACTGTAAAACCACATAGAGAAGAGTCATTGATTCTACTAGATGACCACCTATAATAGATTCCTAAGTGAGGAAGCAAAAAATCAGAGATGAGAATCAATTGATTGATTTATCCTGTGTGAAGGGAGAAGCAGCATAGGAGCAGAATTTCAGGAGAGCCACGCTGGAAATTTCTGAGTGGATTGAATAACCGAGGTTATTTTCTTGTCCTTTAGGCTTATTGATTCCCCCCAGACATCATAAATGTATAAAGATAATAGAGGTTGGGAGCATTTACAGATCACATTCTTTGGGCAACCATTTCAAAATCCCTTCTACAGTAACTTTGAATACATTCCTCAGTTTCAAAGACAGAATTCTGTCTCACTTTAAGCCCAGCAGAGTACACATGTAAGTTCAAAGTTTAAGGAAGACAGAAATCACCAGGGAAGGATTAAAAATTATGAGGTAGTAAGAAGTTGAATCTTAGTAGTCAGCATGATGGAATGAGAAATATTTAGGATCTTCCCATAACACACCCTTAAGTGGATCAGGGAGTGTGATCCAGGAGGGGTAGGACAACCAGGGAAATTTGGTAGAGCCATCCCTGAGACTGTGAGTCTGGATGGAATAAAAGGGAGGAAAGAAAGGCAGCCACATTTGGAGGGTCCTGTCTGGTTTGCTTCTTGTCACCCTATATGAAATCTTCCACAGTGCCCTCCATATTTAAAACATTGAGACTCCTGAGTGAAGAAAACATGTCTTCCGTGACCTTGTTAATGGGAGAAAGTCTGTTTTCTTTTGATTTGTAGTTTTGTTTTGTTTCAAGACAGGATTTTTCTGTGTAAAAGATTGGCTGTCCTAGAATTACCCTTATAGACCAGACTGGCCTTGAATCACAGAGATCTGTCTGCCTCTGCCTCCTGAGTGCTGGGATTAAAGGCATGTGCCACCACCTCCCCATTGTGAGGAATTCTTATAACAGCATGAGAAGGATAACAGCTGTGTAGGAATGGACACCATTGTTTATTTAGGGAAGATTAACTCCAGTAAGCAATAAGAACTTGTGCAGGGTCCTCCCTGCAGTTAGAGCAGGGGAAGGGCCACTACCCCGGGGGCTAAGCTGGATGTTGTGTGTCCACAACTCACCCTCCCCTCACTAGTTACCAGGGAAAACACACACTGAGTCGGGAGTCTGTCGAAATAGGATCTCGATTTATTCCAACACACAGGAAATTACATAGGACTGAGGTAGGGGATGGGAATCTTGGGATAGAGTAAGGTGACATGAGATGTTAAGGGGCAATAGTTTTCCACCAAGCAGGCAGGTAGCTAGGCAGGGGGCAATCTTGCAAACAGATATGGCTGAGTCACCCCCACATTGAGGTACAAGTTAGAGACAGGTTGCTAAACTCTAGCCAGGCTCAGGAGGTTACACTGGGCCTATCATCCAAGCCTTTCTTAGGCCCAACATCTCCCCCTTTTGTTTTTGTAAGAACAGCAGAAATCATGGCCTGTCTTAGGTGGTCCCCCATTGGGAAATTTACTGGTCCCAAAGTACCATGTATCCAGCTCGTTAAATGGACCACTCCATGACCTGTCTTAGGATGTCCCAGTCTGTCTGAGAAGTTGCCTGTCACTTGTCAGGAAGAGGGCGGGGGAGGGATGCTCGTATGAGGACTTCCAGTCACAAGGAGCCTGCCTCTTAGTATCGAGCCTATGATAATGAACTTCGACCTGATGAAGTTTTACTGCCTCTACCTGTTGGTGAACAAATTGCATGACCTTTTTAATCATGCAGGGCCCAATAGTGAGGATAAGGAGGAGGAGGAGTACAGGCTCAAGCAGTGGGAGGAGAAGGGTAAGAAGCCATTTAAGCCAGTCCACAGCGGATTGTCACAGAGGTCCAGCCTTTTCCTCTCCAAGTCCTCCTGAAAACTTTTGATCTTGTCCTGAATGATCCCTGATCTATTGGCATAAAAACAGCACTTTTCCTGTAAAAACAAGCATATGCCTCCCTTTTGGGCTGTTAATAAGTCTAATCCCCTTTGGTTCTGTATGACTACATTAGCCAGGGAATCAAGCTGCTTTTGGAGATGAAGGATAGTATTAGACATGGCCTTTATGCCACTAACCAATTGGGCAGAGAGCCTTCTGTGGAGCTCAAATGCCATGCCTAGCCCTGCAGGCCCAGTGGACATACCTGCAGATATTTCCAAGCCAGCAAGTATAGGAATCATCTATATGGCCCTTGTGGGTCCCCACCAATGGAATCAAGAGGGCACAGGAAGAGCCTCATCCCCAGGAATATCCACATCAGGAATCAAGGTGGCTGGGGAACAAAGGCCTGTCCACTTGGCATGCAGGAAGTCATATGCCATCCCACCTCCACAGACAAAGACCATTCCAGAAGGTGGGCAGCGTTGAGCATTAGATTTGGTTGTATTTGAATTACAGAAAGATGGATCAATGTGGCCTACATCTACAGTGGATTTATCAGTAGTAGTCGGGGTCCAAATACAAGTCCCAGAAAGTTTCATTGGGAGGAGCTTTACATGGATGGGAAATGTGGCTGAGCAATCTTTTATAGTACTAGGGGCATCTGTGACTGTATCATTAGAGACCACTGCAAGCAGCCAAGGATGTCCAGATTGGAGGCAAAGCCAGCAATCCTGTGCAAGGGAAGGAGTCATTTGATTTAGTAAGGCAAAGACCATTTGTAGCAGAGACTCAATATGGGGGTCGAGCACTAGCTCACCCTGATTTTCAGGGAGAACAACAGGGTGATAGTTGACCTCTGGGTACTAGTCCAAAACAAGTTGGTCTTTTTATGAACGTTTTGTTCCCTAACATGATGTTAAACTCCCCCATCTGAATAACCAATAGGGGGGCAAGTTCCCAGCAAACAGTTTTACCTGGGGCTCCAAAGCAAGGTGCAGAGGCACACCCTCCATCTCTCGCAATCCAACCCCTCTCACCTCCAGAGAGCACTAAATTTCATACCCAGGTCCAGTGAGTCTTTTTAGTGGAACTACTGGTGCACATTTGGGCAATGCCATAGCAGGCCAAATGCATTGTCAGACAGAAAGCAGTGCAAGGACAGGGTCCTGGCTTCGCATCAACCTGGGGGATAACCTTGGGCTTCTTTATGCTTATCCACTTATTGGAATTTGAAAAATGGATCCTGATGTGTCAGTCATATTGACTGCTATCTTCGTATCACAATCTACCTGTTGTATGACTGTCCACTAAAGGGAGATACTGACTATGTTCCACCCTGGCAGTCACAGGGTTTCCCCATCAAATGAGTCAGGATAACTTTGGTGTTGTATGGGTTTCCAAATCTTCCATCACTGGGCAGGATGAGCATCATCGGTACCAGGAAGAGCAGCATTACCCACATCTTCATTCGTTCCTGAGGGGGAAACAGAGGTACAGTTCTCAGAAATGGAGCACTCCCTGGAGATGTGATGGTCATTGTCCCCTTGTTGGGGCAAATATTTTAGGTCTCTCACTGGTAGGCAAATTGATCTTTTTTCATTTTGAGGGAAGACACATCCAAATCATCTTCCTGCTGAGAGGAGGGGGTCTAGTCCTCTCAAGATCCCTGTCAATGGGTCCCTCCATCTGACTCAAATAGAACTGTAGGTAACCGAAGAGGACCAAAGTTTTTGTAATGGAGACAGGTATTTATCTTCTTTAGAAAAATTTAAAATATTTAGGGTGAATAATGCCTTTTTAATTGATCATGTGGGGGTGTAGATTCCCCCTTTTGATTTTGTAATTGAGATTTGAGAGCTTGATTATACCTTTACACATCTGCTTGACCCTGAGGATTGTTTGGGATGCCTGTGGAGTGTGAGATGCTCCATGTCTTAAGGAAGTCCACAAAGGCCCTGCTTACAAAGCATGGGCCATTATCTGTCTTAATCTGATCAGGCAATAAAAGGGTTGCAAAGAATTGAAACATATGGGTAATTTCATTTTTACCTTTTTCCCCAGCATGTGCTGATGCCCAGCAGGCATTGGAAAAACCTATCAATGGAGAGAAAAAATATACTTTAACTTTCCAAATGGAGAATAATGAATAACATCAATTTGCCAAAGGTTATTAAGAAGCCCTCGAGGGTTGCTTCCACTAGTTTGGAGGGGTTCATCTGAAGGAAAGTCTGGCAGTACTTACAAGTTCCGACAATCTTTTTAAGGTCCTTGACTGGAATAAGTGGATACTTGTGTTTAAGACCCCTCCAATTAAAATGGGTCATTTAAAGGTTCAGGCATTATGCTGGCCTGCCCTGTTCCCAGAAAGATGCACTCAGGCAATACTCTAGCCAGCCTAGAGTTCTGTGAGAACCACACAGGTGCAAAGGACCCCTTTAAAGGACAGACTGCTTACACTCTCTTTTACTCTCTCACTCTCATCTTCCTCTCCATCTCATCTTCTCTCTCTCTCTCTCTCTCTCTCTCTCTCTCTCTCTCTCATATCTTATCTCTCTCTCAGCTCTTTACGAGTTGGTTACCTCCCACCCCTCTTCCCTCCCTTTCTACCAATAAACTCCATGTGACATCATTGAGTCAGGGTTTGTGTTTCATTACTGGATAAACTTAGACATTTTAACAACATTGGTTCCCTGTCCAGGAACCGAGACATTTTAACAACAGTCAGTAGGTGGAAGCATGTAGCTTCTGTAACAGTATTACATTGAGGCATAGAAGCCAATTTATCAGCCAAATTATTTCCTTCAGAAAAAAATCCATGTGCATTTTGATGACTCCTGAGATGTTGAAGAAAAATAGGGTTAGTTCTTTTTTTGAGTAGGGAGCGGGGTTGAATCATTAAAGGTGATATAGGATTGGAGTCCAGCTTAATATGGGCCTCAACTAGGTTGGGTAACAAATTAACTAGAGAATAAGCTAAATGAATCTTGAATAGTGTCTAATGCAAGAACAACAGCAAACAGTTCCTTAAATTGAGCTGACCCCTCAACTTTATGGGAGACTGATTTTATTGGCACTGGCTCTTTACCATGTTCTAAGGGAGGGATAAATGACTAAAGAAGCCCCCAGGTGCCCCCATCAGTAAACACGGTAAGGAAGCCAGGGTTGGGTTGAGGTTAAAAAAAGTCTGGGGGGGGCTTCCATTCTAACCTATGAAAGAGCTCATCCATTTGTGAGGACCATAGTGACAATCAGCTTTACCCAGAAACCCCTCAAGAGCCGCAGCAATCCCGCTATTGTTTCTCTGAAGCCAGGTGAAATCTGTTGTCTTAAAGAGAGTTACAATAAGATTAGGGTCTATGCCAAACAGCTGGACAGAGGTGACCCTGCCCTTAACAATGCAATCAGCAATCTGATTGGTTATTGAATAGACTCTGGGGGAACCACCAATCGAGAGTTGAATCCAATGTATGGGCTCACCCTCTTGTGCTAATAAGGCAGTACATAACCTTTTCCTAGGAAAAGCGCAAAGGGTGAGGGGCAAAAGAGGATCATACCCCCTTAAGGTTGCTGTGTCTATGGCCTGTTGAACTTCACTTAAAATCTGTAAATGGTCAGCAGATAGAATTATCTGTGAGGAGAGATCATGACCTTTTAGGAGGTCATACAAAGGAGCCAATTCCTCAGTAGTTATAGAAATCTAGGGCCTCAGCCAATTAATTTCCCCCAATGTCTGTTGGACCTAGGGCAAGGTATAAGAATCCTGAATATGAAGTTGGAGTTTAACAGAAGAGACAGCATCAAGAAATAACATGGAACCCAAAATCTTAAAAGGAGGACTATTCTGAAACTTTTCAGGAGCAACCTTAAAATCATGGGCCTCTAATATGGCAAGATGTTTAGAATTAAGATCTTGGAGGTCAGATGCGTTAGAACAACCCAAATAATATCATACATATAAATATAGAATAATATATTAGGATGACCAATCAAGGAAGAAAAAATGTGTAATATATAATACTGACAAATAGGAGGGCTTTTGGCCATGCCCTAGGGTATGACAGTCCTTTTAAATCTTAGATCTGGCCCGCAAAAATTTGTTGAAGGTATGGAAAAGGATTTTTCTACATCATCGGGATGTAATGGGACAGAGAAAAAACAATCCTTAATATCAATATGGTGGGAGTGCCAACTGGTTCAGCCACTTTGGAAAGCAGTGTGGAGATTCCTCAGAAAAATGGGAATAAACCTACCACAAGACCCAGCAACTCCACTCTTAGGCATATATCCAAAAGATGCCCATTCATACAACAAAGAGGTCTGTTCCACTATGTTCATAGCAGCTTTATTTGTAATTGCCAGAACGTGGAAGCAACCTAGATGTCCCTCACCCGAAGAGTGGATAGAGAAAATGTGGTACATCTACACAATGGAGTACTATTCAGCAGAAAAAAATAATGGAATCATGAGATTCGCAGGCAAATGGATGACACTAGAAGAAACCATCCTGAGTGAGGTAACCCAGTCACAAAAAGAGAAACATGGCATGTACTCTCTCATATATGGATTTTAGACATAGATCTGGGGAGTGCCAGTCTACAATCCTATGGCCAGAGAGTCTGGGAAACAGAAACTTTATTTAGTGGCTGATCGAAGAAGAGGCAGACTCCCTTGGTTAAGTACTGTGCTGAACTCAAGAAAGCCAGTAACAGAGAGGGAGGACTGATGATCAAAGGGATTAAGACTGGGCTGGTTTAACCCCCAGAAACAGCTGACCAGACAAAGGTTAACTCTTGAATCCCAGGCATTAGCCTGGGAATCCAGCATGGGACTGATCAAGACCCCCTGAATCTGGGTGTCAGTGAAGAGGCCTAGGGAATCTATTGAGCCTTGGGCAGCAGATCAGTACCCATCCCACGTTTACACACGGACTTAGGACTCCAATAGAACAATGTGAGGAGCACTCTCACCCAGAACTCTTGGGAAAGGGTCTAGGCCCTGCCCTATATGAAATGACACACTATGGACACCCCCATGGAGGGCCTCACCCTCCCTGGAGAAATGAGAGGATAACGGGGGGGGAGGGGAGGGCACGGGAGGAAGGGAGGGAATGGGAGAGGGACCTGGAACTGACTTGTGAAGCAACCTTGATTCTTATCTAAATTTAAACATAGTTAAATAATGGATGTTGGGAAAGGCTGGAATCCAGTGGAGTCCCCTTTGCGGGGTCCCAAAAGGTATCAATCTCTCATTTATTTTCCTCAAATCATGTAAAAGCCTCCAAGAGCCATTGGACTTCTTTTTTTTAAAATAAGAAAACCCAGAGAATTCCAAAGACTTGTTGAAGATCGGTAGAGAACTGGTCAGTGGTGCCCCAAAGCATGCCAAAATTAATTAGGACCACAGGGCAGGCTTTCTGATTTCATTCTGCCTGGATGCGACATTCATCCTGAAAAAAATGTGCTCCACTTCAGAAACATGGATCCGGGAAGCACTGCCCTAGCAAGGTCCTTCCAATCCTGGGTTTGGGCTCTGAGAAGGTCTCTTTGAGTTCCTTTAAATTATGTGCTTCCCATTGGTACCAGGAAGCCAGGCAGTTACCACCAGGGTTAACATTGACAGGAAAAAGATTGGTCATTTCTCCCCCAGAAGCATCCTCCCCGCAGTAATGCTGTGGTGCAGGGGGGTTCCGGAAATGACTAATAGGGGGACCTGGAAGCTGTGTGACTTTAGACTTCCAAGGAGCACTTTCAAAGGAAGTCTAGAGATGAATACAGGGGTGCAGGGAGGTGTGAGGGACTAGGATTTGCTTTGGTTTTTCCAGAGTTTCTTTATCTCCTTTTGTCCCTTCCTGGATTGGGGCCTCACTCTTCTCCCTACAGGGTCGAGGGGGAAGCAACCCTTTAACTCAGACACTGTTGGGAGGGTCCTCAGTGAGGGAATCTCTCCTTTTTCCACCTGAGCTCTTCTAATGCCGTACCCCAAGTATCCCAGTCAAAAAGGTTACTCACTGGCAGCCAGGGAGCAAACTTAAGCAAACAGCCCCAGGCCAGGAGAGCCTGGTTATCAGAAAGATTAAGGCCTCTACTTTTAAGTAGGACCCATGAAATTCTAGGGTAGGGTTGATTTGCACAAAGACTGCCCCATAATTTATGGGGATACACTCACCCACAGACCGAGTGGCCCGTCAGCATTCTTCCGTTTATCACACGGGGCCCCATCTCTGCAGGGTCCTCCCTACAGGTAGAGCTGGGGAAGGGCAAGTATAGCTGGCTTCTTCCAGGTGGCTGAGCCGGATGCTGAGTATTCACAACTCAGACCCTCCCCTGACTAGTTACCTGGGAAAAAAACACACTGATTCCGGAGTCTGTCGAAACAGGATCTCGATTTATTCCAACACACAGGAACTTATATAGGACTGAGGTAGGGGCTGGGAATCTTGGGATAGGGTAAGGTGATCTGAGGAGTTAAGGTCCAATAGTATTCCACCAAGCAGGCAGGTAGCTAGGCAGGAGGTAATCTTGCATCAGATCTGGCTGATTCACCCCCACATGGAGATAACAGGATAGAGACAGGTCACTAAACACTAGCCAGTCTCAGGAGGTTACACTGGGCCCCACATCTGAGCCTGAAAATCAAAGTCAGGCTCAGGAGCTTACATGGGGCCTATCATCCAAGCCCAAAAAACTTGTGCTGCTTATTCATAGTTCCCAACTGGATCACACCTGGAGTTAATTAAAATTCAAATATGGAGGTCACAACTGTGAGAAATGTTTCATATAAGTTGAAGGAGATAGATCCACTTCAAATACAGACTTTGGAGTTCAAAAGACACAAATATTTAAGGTGAATGTCAAGGACTAAAGGCACGCACCTTTAATCAAGATCTTGATGCTAGGAGACACACCCTAAATTGGGATGAACCTTCAGCTGAGAGCATATAAAAGGATGTGGAAGACATCTCTGCTTGCTTCATTCCTTCACTAGCATTGGATAACACTTTCTGGAATTCCAGTATATACCAAAGACCACTCAACAGGTCCAACCTCCTTAACTGAGTAAGTACTGTATTCTTGGACTTTCCTTTAAGAGTTAGACATTGGTGGATTAGCACGGCTTCAGCCCTAAATCATTCTAATGATTATCCTTTGTTAATACAGAGAGTTACTGTGTATATTCTGTTATTCTAGAGAACCATTGTACAACATTTTTGATATGAGTGTACAAAATGTTCCAAATTTTTAGCAGTTTTCTATAATTAGTTACCTACTGACCTAAGAATCAACCTAGAAATAAATGAAGTGATGTAACATTCCCTAGTAGCCTAGACCATCTATACTAGTAACTACTATTGTAATCTGCATAGTGAATTTTCAGAGAACCACATTTCCAACCTCATCGAAGAAGGAACAGAGGAAAGACAGAAACTAAAAATATTAATTGTGAAAATTGTTGTGTCACACAGGGTGAAGAAAACAAATCCTAATTCTTCATTTCAGATCCAATTTAACTTCAGACTACCTCCAGGAGAAATGTCAGAGGACAAAATAGCCCAGAGCTGGGACTAGAAACATTTCAGGCTCCAGAGTGTCTTTCCAAGTGGACCATCGGCCACTTCAGATTTTCTATGGGGAAAATGTGGGACAGCATTAGAAGCCCAACTTTCTCCACAGGGGATAATGACAAGTAGTGTTTGAGACTACACCCAAATGGGATAGATGAAGAAAGCAGAGATTACCTGTCAGTTAACCAAGAGTTGCTCAGCTGCTTAGAGTCCCCCTTGGAGCACATTTCCAATGTTGGATCATTAGCATCCAAGGGAAAAAACTGAAACTACAACAAAGTCAAAAACCTTTACCTTTCTACCAGGCTATGAAAGAGGTTTCTAAGGTTCATCCTTTGAGATTTCCACTTGGTAAATGTGCATCAGCTTCTCCCTGAAGACAAGCTAACCCTCCACTGCATGGGAATCATGTTCCAAGACTTATGCAGCATCTCCAGCCTGAGCATGAAGCCAGGGATCCAGGTTCCAATGTACAGGATGGCAGAAATCTGTGGGAGAATTCCCTCTTCAGAGACTGCTGCCTGGTGGTAGCTGGCCAGGAATTCTGGGCTCAAGGGCATCTTAGCAGCTTGCTCTCCAGTTTTCAGAGCCATGTTTGAACATGACATGGAGGAGAGCAGAACAAACTGCATTGAGATCCATGATCTGGAGCCTCAAGACTTCAAGGCAATGATGGGCTTCATTTATACTGGGAAGGCACCAGACTTCCAAGCCATGGCAGATTCTATGCTGGCAGCTGTGGACAAGTATGGCCTGGAATGTTTGAAAATCATGAGCCAGATAGCCCTTTGCAGGGACCGCAGTGGGGAGAATGGTGCCCACACTTACTTCCTGGCTGTCCTCCATAGTGCAGAGAAGCTGAAAACCCAGGCACTGGATTTCCTTACAGCCCATGGTTCTGAGGTCTCTCAGACCTCAAGCTGGAAGACAATGGTGGCCTCATATCCCCACTTGGTGACTGAAGCATACAGCTCCCTGGCTTCTGCTCACCACTGTTTAGTGAAGGGCCTTCTCAAAGTCCTGTAACAGTGTTGGGATCCTGTCAGCTGTGACCTGCAGGTGCAATCCAGAAATAGCAGTCATCTTTGTTACCAAGGACACCTGGATACACTTTGAGACATGTGGTAGCATTTACAGAGAATCTGGGGAAAGGCAGCATGGGGGTTTGGGCCTTTAATACAGCTGTAAATAAGTTGAATAGAAGATTAGGTAAGGGACAGTACTGGAATTTAACATATTCTAACCCACCTCTACCCTGTTGCTGTACTTGTTTGTTTTGGTTACTGTTATTCAGTGTAGTTAATGCCTCAAGCACATTCCAACAGCATTTCTTTAGAAGAACCTGTTTGGAATAAACTGAGCAAAGCATATGATCAAAGGCTCTGAGCAAAGGAGAAAACAAACATGGATGTTTGCTTACAAGAGAAAGGAAAGAGAAATAACCTATATTTTCTCCAAACTCAGGGTGTGGGAGCCTAGAAAGTTGACTCAGGTGGCAAAAGCCATTGTTGCTCTTACAGAGGACATTGTTTAATTCTGTAGACAATATCTTACCCAAATAAAATATAAAATGAATTAAAATTGTAAAAATCAGTTTGTGGATTCTTCTTTGAAGAAGCACATGTTAGTCCATCCAGAAAATCTAAGCTGTGAAAGTTTGGGCATGGTTCTCACCGTCACACACACAAAAGTCAATAAAATGACATTTAATGAAATTCTGTTATGCTCAGAGATTGGTGCCAAGCCCAGTCTTCATCTTTCTCCAGCAGCTGGTGGGAGCAGATACTGAGATCCACAACAAAACATTAGGCAGAGCTAGGGAAACTCAAGGAAGAGGGGAGGAAGGATTGTAGGAGATCAAAGATACCACAAGAACAGAGCCCACAGAATCCACAAAGGAGGATCACAGTGGCTCACAGAGACTCAAAAGGCCCTCACAGAGCCTTCATGCATCTGTACTATGCCTTGTACCATGCTTTGGGTGTTTAGCTTAGGGTTTTTTATAAGACTTCTAACAGTGGGTGTATAGGGATACTCTGACTTATATCTCTAATCTTGAGTACCTTTCCTTCTTTTTTGGGCTGGCTCCTCCAGGCTTGATATGAGGGTTTGTGCTAAGTCTTATTGCATCTTGTTATGCTATGTTCAGTTGATATCCCCAGAGGGCCTGCTCTTTTCTGAAGGGAAACAGGAGTAAGTACTTCTGGGTAGAGTGGAGGGAAGGAAGGCTATCAGAGAATGATAAATAAAAAGGAAAAATAGAAAAAAGCTTTTGAAGAAGTATTTGGACCAATCTGCAAAGAAACAAAAATGTTAAGGTCCCTGTGTCTCCTGTAAATGCCCATGAAAATGTATCTTTAGCAAAGGAGGAGTCCAATAATCAAGTAGATAGGATGACACATTCTGTGGACAGTTGCCTCATTCCAAGTCATGCTTGTTATTGCCTGATGGGTCCATGCTCAATTTAGCCATGGTAGCTGAGATGGCAGTTATCCATAGGCTCAACAAAATGGACATCCACTCTTCAAGACTCACCTGGTTACAGCTGCTGTTAAACACCAGATCTGCCAATCACAGATACCAACATAGAGCCCAAGAGATATGACAGTTCCCCAGGTTGATCAGCATACAACTTAGTGTGATAGGATGACTACATTGGACTACTTCAGCTGCGGAATGGACACACTCTGTTGCTACTGGAATAAGTCTTTTCTAGTTATGAATTTCCCTTTGTTGTATGCAGCGATTTTAATAATCTTCCACAAAGGAGTAACAGAGTGCCTTGTCAAACATCATGATACTCCACACAGTGTACCTTCTAACCAAGGCACTACATTCATAGAGAGCTGCAGCTCAGAGCTGGTGGGAGTCACAAATCAATGATTGATCTAACTTGAGGCCTGAGACAAGAGAAGAAGGTGTTTCCCAGAACAATCTGGATGGGCAGGAACCAGAAGCTACAAGGCACAGAGAGCTCTGGTGGAACTAAACGTGACTGAAAAAGAAAAGGTCAATGAAATGATTATTTTTCTCTTTCTTTTTCATTTTCTTCTTTTTTATGTTTTTTTCCAGGCAGAATTTCTCTGTATAACAGCTCTAGCTATCCTGGAACTCACTCTATAAAAACCAGGCTGGCCTCAGACTCACAGAAATTCACCTTCCTTTGACTCCTGAGTACTGGGACTAAAGGCATTTGCCATTGCTGCCAGCATTAAAATGATTTTTAATGAAATTCTGCTATATTCATATATTGGTGCCTAGCCCAATTGTCATCAGAGAGTCTTGCTCCAGCAGTTGATTGGAGCAGATGCAAAGACCCACAGGCAAATATTAGATAGAGTTCATGGAACCTTGCTGAAGAGAAGGGGGTAGGATTGTAGAAGCCAGAGGGGTGGAGGGCACCAGGAGAACATGGCCCACTGAATCAACAAGTAGGGGTCATAAGGGCTCACAGAGACTGAAGGACTTATCACCGAGTTTTTATGCATGTGTCCTCTTCATATATGTTGTGGTTGTTTAGCTTGGGATTTTTTCTGGGATTCCTAACAGTGGGAGTGGGGATATATCTGACTAATTTGCTTGCTCCTATGACCCTTTTCCTCCTACTGAGTTGCCTTATCCAGCATTAATATGAGGGTTTGTGCCTAGTGCTATTGCATCTTGTTAAGCCCTGTTTGTGGATATCCCTTGGAGGCCTGGCATTTTCTTAAGGGAAACAGAGGAGCAGTGGATCTAGGAGCCAGAGGAGGTGAGAGGAGGGCTGGAAGAACTGGAAAGAGGGAGCCTGTAACATGTATGTACTGTTTGAGAGAAGTAAAAATAAAACGGAAAAGGAAAAAAATCACTTCCCCAAAAAAAGGCCAGAACCAGACCGTTTTAGCAATAAATCCTATAAGACTTCCAAACAACAGTTACCACCAATACTCTTCAAATTATTCCATTAAATAGCAACAGAAGTAATACCGACTGATTCATTTATGAGGCTACAGTTACCCAGATACACAATCTACATAAGGACCCAACAAAGAAAGTATATTACACACCAATTCCCCATATTAACATAAATGCAACATACCCAATAAAATGCTCACAACCCAAATCCAAGAACACACCAGAAGATTATCCACTATTCTCATGGAAGCTTCATACCAATGATTCAGGGATGGTGCAATATATGAAAATCAATAAATGTAATCCTTCCTTTATTGAAATGAAATTGAAAAACAAAAAAAAGCAACAATAGTATTTTTATGGAGTTCCTGAGTGTGAGAACAAGTGCATCTGTGATTCTTCTGCCTGCTCTTGGGCTCTTTTCCTACTGCTGGGTTGCTTTTTCTAACTTCAATATGATGTTTTTGCTTTTCCTTATTATACTTTATTTTTCATTTGTGGTTGTTATCTCTGGAAAGCCTGTTCTGGGTTTTTATTGTTGTTGTTATTGGGTGGTTTCTGTTTGTTTTTGTTTTTGATTTTTGTTTTTCTAGACAAGGTTTCTATGTGTAACAGCCAAGGTTGTCCTTGAAACTATATTTGTAGGGCAGGCTGGCCTTTGCTGGCCTATTCTTTCCCAATGAAAGACAGAAAGTGTGTGATCCAGAGAGGGGGAAATGAACCCTCTTTCTACAAGCAGCAATTTCTAAGAATCTGTTTAATCCTTTAGCAATTATAAATAATTACTATTTGGAGTAGGAAATAGAAGTAAATGGAAAATAGATAATTGGCTCCAAATTACCTTGTCTTAAAAAGGACCATGGATCCCAGATACAATGTAATCTCTGATATCTGAACTTATTGCATATGTCTAAAGACTAGAATTAGACACAGAGTTTAATGTACTTTTTATTTGTTTATTTTTGTTTTTTCTATTTATTTTCCTTTTTGCTTATTTATTTATTTAAGTAGGGCTTTCCTGTAGTCCATGCAATGTACTGTTTGCTTTCTTATCTCTATTTCTGGAGTGCTAAGTTCTTGAGACAAGGTTATATTGTATTATCTGGGTAGATAATTGCCTCACATGAGTACTTGTAAATGGAGACGAAACTGCAAAGAAGCAGAGAAAGAATGACAGAAGAAGTAGATATTTTCATGAATCTTGCCTGGGAGTCCAAACCAGGCAGTTTGGAACAATCTATGGACTGAAAATAAGGCTACAGTCTCCAGTACACTGCTGATGGCTCCATGGAAGCCCTTCTGGATTTCTAATTTTTTTTAACCATTGCAGAGTTACAAAATTAATTTACGTTCTTTTGCCTTATCCTATACACATGAAGTTTGGAGAGAACATATTAATCAAAATGGTCAACAAATTCTGAGGCTTTTCCTTTGTATCTAGACACAAATATTATAATAGCATTTCCTATAGGCTGGGTGGTGGTGGTGCATGCCTTTAATCCAGAAAACAAAAGGATATCAAGGAAAGACAAATCAGAAAGGGAGAGGTCAAATTCGGCTGTAACAACCCTCTCCAGGAGAGGAGCAGGATTGACATATCCTTCAGGGATATCATGACCCACCTCACCCCAGCTTCAGTTACCCTGGCTTCCTGAAATACCAGGACACCTCTCTTTCCAGTGCTGAATTGTCCCGATACAGTTCCAGCCTAGATACCTCTCCTTGGTTGCCTGGGATTCCAAAAATTAGCAGCCAGCCCTCCAACCTCAGGCACCTGCAGTATACCATCTTGACAATTTCCCCTGCCTTACCACCCTATAACGGGTCGGCATACTTTCAGATCAGTCTTGGATGTGGGTATGAAGTTGGAAGTATGATTTAGTGTCAGTAAGTAAATTATTACTTAGAATGCCATTTAAGATCTATAGAAATGTGGACCCACTGTCTAAAGCAGCAGTTCTCAACATGTGGGTTGCAACCCCTTTGGGGAGACAAAAGACCCTTTCACAGTGGTTGCCTAGAGACATCTACATATCAGATATTTACATTATGATTCATAACAGTACAAAATTGCTGTTATGATGTAGTAATGAAAATAACTTTATGGTTGGGGGGTCATCACACCATGAGGAACTGTATTAAAGAGTCACAGCATTAGGAAAGTTGAGAAACACTGGTCTAAAAAAGATGAGCTCTAACCAATATATTTCTGCACAGTGCCTTTGAACTAGTGTTTAGCATCAGAACACCCAGATAACCCAGTGAAGCAGTATAGACTAATGTATTTACATCACTGTACCTCAGGTTGCTAAACTGTACTCTTATTCCTACATCAAAGTAGACTTTTTAAAAATTGTTAATGCTTTTTTATTAATACAAGTCATAATATGCTGACAAAAAGAAAAATTTAGAGGTAAAAATACAAAAATGGCCTACAATTCCATCCACTGAAAATAAGCACTGGGACAGGTGTGTACCCTCTATACTCTGTACCTTTAAAGAATTTTTAATGGAATCAAATTGTACATGCTGTTTTGTAACCTTTTTACTTAACAGTACCATGACGACCTTTTGTGTCATATGTATTTCTACATAATTTTTAATGGGTGCAGTGTATTTCTTCACATGTGCCACATTTTATTAAACTACTGTGGAATTTTTTTTAAAAAAACAGTATATGAAATGGTCAAAACAATTCAAAAGGTGTACGCAAATGTCAAAATTAACCAATTGTGCTAAGATTGAATCTGGAAAAATTGAGTGATGTACCAGTCCTCAGTAGACTAGATGGTATTCCCTGACATTTATATTACACCCTGGATGGAACATGTCACAGAACCCAAGATTTCAACAAAAAGAATAGGGAGCAGAAATTAAATAAAAACTAAAACATTAACTATTAATGTCAGATTAACCAGCTTTGAAAGTTGAGAGTAACCAAACCTCAGACCAAGTTTATTGTTATTTAGATAAGACATCCTTGCCTAAGCCCAAACATCCTACTGTAGCCAAGCATTAGACTTTCTGGTCTTTCATCTTTCACCTTGGAAGAGTAAGGATAGCTTTGAACACTTGAACATTAAGCCAAGATGGAGCAAATCCTTTTTTACAAGACCCCCAAAAGACACAAACATGTAATCCAGATCTTGAGGCCAGTAAACACACACCTTTAATCCAGAACTCCAGTTCAGGAGACACACCTTTCATTGGGCCACACCCTCCCATGGCAGAGTATAAAAGGCCATGAAACCAGGAAGATGTTTATTTTTGATTGCCTCCCCTCACCTTGTAGGAAGTCCAATACTTCACTGGAATTAGAGAATACTTATTCTCACTTGCAGCATTTACTGAACACCAGCCGACAGACACTTCTCATCTGCTGGATTGAGTAAGTACTGGATTTTGAATTTGCCTTGACAGCTAGCCAATGTGTTATGAACATGACCCCAGGACTAAGTCAATCCAATGAATCCCCTTTCCTCACATATAGAGAGATTCACTGCATGTGTACTATTGCTCTAGAGAACATTAGCACTAAAATTTTTCCAGTAAGAGTGTATGAAATTTTCAAAACAATTCAAAAGGTGTATGTAAATGTCAAAATTGATGTATTGTGCTAAGATTGAATCTGGAAAAATTGAGTGATGTACCAGTCCCCAGTAGACTAGTTGGTATTCCCTGACATATTTATTACACCTTGGATGGAACATGTCACAGAACCCAAGATATCAACAAAAAGAATAGGGAGCAGAAATTAAATAAAAACTAAAACATTAACTATTAATGTCAGATTAACCAGCTTTGAAAGTTGAGAGTAACCAAACCTCAGACCAAGTTTATTGTTATTTAGATAAGACATCCTTGCCTAAGCCCAAACATCCTACTGTAGCCAAGCATTAGACTTTCTGGTCTTTCATCTTTCACCTTGGAAGAGTAAGGATAGCTTTGAACACTTGAACATTAAGCCAAGATGGAGCAAATCCTTTTTTACAAGACCCCCAAAAGACACAAACATGTAATCCAGATCTTGAGGCCAGTAAACACACACCTTTAATCCAGAACTCCAGTTCAGGAGACACACCTTTCATTGGGCCACACCCTCCCATGGCAGAGTATAAAAGGCCATGAAACCAGGAAGATGTTTATTTTTGATTGCCTCCCCTCACCTTGTAGGAAGTCCAATACTTCACTGGAATTAGAGAATACTTATTCTCACTTGCAGCATTTACTGAACACCAGCCGACAGACACTTCTCACCTGCTGGATTGAGTAAGTACTGGATTTTGAATTTGCCTTGACAGCTAGCCAATGTGTTATGAACATGACCCCAGGACTAAGTCACTCCAATGAATCCCCTTTCCTCACATATAGAGAGATTCACTGCATGTGTACTATTGCTCTAGAGAACATTAGCACTAAAATTTTTCCAGTAAGAGTGTATGAAATTTTCAAAACAATTCAAAAGGTGTATGTAAATGTCAAAATTGATCTATTGTGCTAAGATTCAATCTGGAAAAGTGGAGTTATGTAGCAGTCCCCAGGAGACTAGACTGTGTTCTCTGAAAATTATATTACAACCTTGATTGAAAATGTCACAGAAACCCAAGATTTCAACACAAATAATAGGGAGTAGAGATTAAAATAGAAACTAAAACTTTAACTATTATCTCTAATTGTGACCTCCAGATTATAGAAGGAAAACTATAGTTCTTCATTTTGGATCGAGGTTAATCTTCAAAACACCACAAGAAAATATGACACAGGAATTGGCAGTGGAGAGCTGGGGCTACAAACAGATCAGCATCCAGAAATACTCCTACAAGTGGACCATCAGCAATTTCCATTTTCACTTGGAGCGAATGCAGGGGGCAAACATTAAAAGTCCCACTTTCTCATCAGGTGCAAATGACACACTTGAATGGTGTATGAAAATACACCTGAACGGGGTCGATGAAGAAAGCAAAGGTTACTTGTCAGTTTCCTTATGGCTGCTCAGCTGCCCAAAGAAACCAGTATGGGCGAAGTTCCAGTTGTGGATCATCAATGCTGAAGGAGAGAAATCCCTAACAATAAAGAGCCCAGAATTCTTCAGGTTTCTGCAAAACCAACACTGGGCATACAAGAAGTTTATCCCTCGAGATTTCCTCTTGTCTCTGGAGCCTTGGCTTCTCCCAGACACCAAACTCACCCTGCTGTGCACGATGGATGTGGTCCAAGAAACCTTCTGCATCTCTGGAGAGAGCACGATGCCAGGGATCCAGGTTCCAAGGTGCACAATGGCAGATGAGCTAGGAGAGCTGTGGGAGAATCCCAACTTCACAGACTGCTGCTTGGTGGTAGCTGGCCAGGAGTTTCAGGCTCACAAAGCAATCTTAGCAGCTCGTTCTCCAGTTTTCAGAGCCATGTTTGAACATGACATGGAGGAGAGCAGAAAAATACGCATTGAGATCGACGATCTGGAGCTGCAAGTCTTCAAGGCAATGATGAGATTCATTTATACCGGGGAGGCACCAGACCTCCACAGCATGGCAGATAATGTGCTGGCAGCTGCCAACAAGTATGGCCTGGTTCGTTTGAAGGTCATGTGTGAGGATGCCCTCTGCAAGGACCTCTCCGTGGAGACTGCTGCCCGAACACTTGTCCTGGCTGACCTCCACAATGCAGAGCAGCTGAAAACCCAGGCACTGGATTTCATAACACATCATGCTTCTGCGGTCTCTGAGACCACAAGCTGGAAGAAAATGGTGGGCTCGTATCCCCACTTGTTGGCTGAGGCATACAGTTCCCTGGCTTCTGCTCACTGCTCTTTACTGGAGCCCCCTTGCAAACGTCTCAAGCAATCTTAGGAGCCTCTCAGCTGTGACCTACATGTCTATTCCAAAAGCAGCAGCCAACATTATTACAAGGACATCTGGGTAGACTACGGGACATTGCAGACTTTTCAGAGAATCTGTGGAAAGGCAGCATGGGGGCTCAGACAGTTAATACTAATTCCCTAGAATCCAGTTGAATATATATTTTGGGTAGGAAGAGTACTTTACTCTAGGATACTCTACACAATTGCTCTGGTGCGTTGCTTTCTCTGCAGTGAGTCGAAAACTGGGGATTCGGTTGGGTTATTGGCCCAAGCACATCCCTACACAGTTTCTGTGGAAGAACATGTCTGAATTATACTGAACAGAGCCTATGATCAAGGATTTAGAGCAATGGAGAAAACAAACGTGAATATTTGCTTACAAGAGACAAGGAGGAGAAAGAAGACAGTTTTTCTCTCCAGAATCAGTGTGTGGGGACTGGAGGGTTGACTCAGCTGGCGAAAGCAATTTTTGCTACTGCATAGGAGAAGTTCATGAGTTAAGCTCTCAGGCATACATGGGTGACTCTCAACCTTTTGGAACTGGAGACAAATATTACTGAAGTTTGCTCTTGTGCCTGTAATCTAAACACAGTTTAAGGTGAATTAAAAATTGACAAACAATTTGTGGATTCCATGGTGTTTCTGTTTGAATATGCCCATTTTATTTTATTTTATTTGGGGTCTAGTGTGTATTGCTACACAATATTTTTTTTATTTTTCAGATTGAATTTAGATAAGAAACAAGGTTGCTTCACAAGTCAGTTCCAGGTACCTCTCCCTTTTCCTCCCCTCCTCCTGTGCCCTCCCACCAACCCCCCCATTATCCCCTCATTTCCCCAGGGAGGGTGAGGCCCTCCATGGGGGTGTCCATAGTCTGCTATTTCATATAGGGCAGGGCCTAGACCCTTCACCAAGAGTTCAAGGTGAGAGTGCACCTCACATTGTTAGATGGGTGTCCAAAGTCCATGTGTATACTTGGGATGGGTACTGATCTGCTGCCCAAGGCTCAGTAGATTACCTAGGCCTCCTCACTGACTCTCACATTCAGGGGGTCTTGATCAGTCCCGTGCTGGATTCCCAGGCCGATGCCTGGGATTCAAGAGTTAACCTTTGTCAGGTCAGCTGTTTCTGGGGGTTAAACCAGCCCAGTCTTAATCCCTTTGGTCATCAGTCCTCCCTCTCTGTTACTGGCTTTCTTAAGCTCAGATCAGTACTTAACCGAGGGAGTCTGCCTCTTCTTCGATCAGCCACTGAATGAAGTTTCTGTTTCCCAGACTCTCTGGCCGTGGGATTGTAGGCTGGCACTCCCCAGATCTATGTGTAAAATCCATATATGAGAGAGTACATGCCATGTTGCTCTTTTTGTGACTGGGTCACCTCACTCAGGAGGGTTTCTTCTAGTGTCATCCATTTGCCTGCGAATCTCAGGATTCTGTTGTTTTTTTCTGCTGAATAGTACATTTTCTCTATCCACTCTTCGGTTGAAGGACATCACGGTTGCTTCCAAGTTCTGGCTATTACAAATAATGCTGCTATGAACATAGTGGAACAGACATCATTGTTGTATGAATGGGCGTCTTTTGGATATATTCCTAAGAGTATAGTTGCTGGGTCTTGTGGTAGGTTTATTCCCATTTTTCTGAGGAATCTCCATACTGATTTCCAAAGTGGCTGAACCAGTTGGCACTCCACCAGCAATGGAGGAGTGTCACCCTTCACCACATTGTCTCCAGCATAAATTGTCATTGGTGTTTTTGATTTAGCCATTCTGACAGGAGTGAGATGGTATCTCAGAGTTGTTTTGATTTACATTTCCCAGATGGCTAAGGATTTTGAGCAATTTCTCAAGTGCCTCTCAGCCATTTTAGACTCCTCTATTGAAAATTCTCTAATTAGTTCTACATCCCACTTTTTAATTGGGTCCTTGGATGTTTTGGAGACTTGCTTCTTGAGTTCTTTGTAAATTTTGGAGATCAACCCTCTGTCAGATGTGGGATTAGTGAATATTTTTTCCCTTTCTGTGGGCTGCCTTTTTGTCTTGCTGACTGTGTCCTTTGCCTTACAGAAGCTTCTCAGTTTCAGGAGGTCCCATTTATTAATTGTGGATCTCACTGTCTGTGCTAGTGGTGTTATGTTCAGGAAGCTGTCTCATGTACCAATTTGTTCAAGGGTAGCACCCACTTTCTCTTCTAAGAGGTTCAGTGTGGTTGGATTTATGTTGAAGTCTTTGATCCATTTGGACTTAAGTTTTGTGCATGGCGATAAACATGGATCGATCCGCATTCTTCTACATGCCAGCCTCCAGTTATGCCAGCACCATTTGTTGAAGATGCTTTCTTTATTCCATTGTATATTTTTAGCTTCTTTGTGAATGATCAGATGTTCATACATGTGTGGGTTAATATCCGGGTTTTCAATTCGATTCCATTGGCCTACCTGTCTGTTTTTGTGCCAATACCAAGCTGTTTTCAGGACTATAGCTCTATAATAGAGCTTGAGGTCAGGGATGGTGATGCCTCCGGATGTTGCCTTGTTGAACAGGGTTGTTTGGGCTATCCTGGGTCTTTGGTTTTCCATGCAAAATTGATTATTGTTCTTTCAAGGTCTGTGAAGTATTGTGCTGGGATTTTAATGGGGATTGCAATGAATCTGTAAGATTGCGATTTTTACTACATTGATCCTACTTATCCAAGAGCATGGGAGATCTTTACATTTTCTGAGGGCTTCTTTAATTTCTTTCTTTAAAGGTCTTTCACTTGTTTTGTTAGCATTACTCCAAGGTATTTTTTGTTGTTTGTGGCAATTGTAAAGGATGATGTTTCTCTGATTTCTATTCAGCCCTTTTATCATCTGTATATAGTAGGGATACTGATTTTCTTGAGTTGATCTGGTAGCCTGCCACTTTGCTGAAGGTGTTAATCAACTCTAAGAGTTCCCTGGTTGAGTTCTTTGGATCATTGATGTAAACTATCATATCATCTGCAAACAGTTAATGTTTGACTCTTCCTTCCCAATTTGTATCCCCTTGATCCCACTTGGTTTTGTATGGCAATGTCTAGAACTTCTAGTACCATGTTGAAAAGGTATGGAGAGAGTGGACAGCCTTGTTTTGTTCCTGATTTTAGAGGAATTGCATTGAGTTTCTGTCCATTTAGTTTGATGTTGGCTGTTTGTTTATTCTATAGCTTTTATTATGTTTAAGTATGTCCCTTTATCCCAGATCTCTCCAAGACTTTTATCATGAAGGGTAGTTGGATTTTGTCAAAGGCTTTTTCAGCATCTAGTGAGATAATCATGTGATTTTTGTTTTTCAGCTTGTTTATATGGTGGATTACGTTGATGGATTTTCATATGTTGAACCATCCCTGCATCCCTGGGATGAAACCTACTTGATCGTGGTGAAAGATTGTTTTGATGTGTTCTTGGATCCGGTTTGCCAGTATTTTATTGAGTATTTTTGCATCAATGTTCATGAGGGATATTGGTCTTAAGATCTCTTTCTTAGGTGTGTCTTTTTGTGGTTTGGGGATCAAGGTTATTGAAGCCTCATAGAAAGAGTTTGGCAAAGACCTTTCTGCTTCTATTGTGTGGAATACTTTGAGCAGAATTGGTATAAGCTGTTCTTTGAATTTCTGGTAGAATTCTGCACTGAGGCCATCTGGACCTGGACTTTTTTTGGATGGGAGACTTTTGATGACTACTTCTATTTCCATAGGGGATATAGGTCTATTTAAATTGCTTATCTGTTTTGATTTAGTTTTGGCAAGTGATAGCTATCCAGGAAGTCGTCCATTTCCTTTAAATTTTCAAACTTTGTGGAGAACAGGTTTTCAAAGTATGACCTGATGATTCTCTGGATTTCCTCAGAATCCGTTGTTATGTCCCCCTTTTCATTTCTGATTTTGTTAATTTGCATGTTCACTCTCTGCTGTGTGGTAAGTTTGGACAACGGTTTGTCTATCTTGTTGATTTTCTCAAAGAACCAACTCTTCGTTGCATTGATTCTTTATATTGTTTTACTAGTTTCTACTTTATTGATTTCAGCCCTCAATTTGATTATTTCCTGGTGCCTACTCCTCCTGGGGGAGTTTGCTTCTTTGTGTTCTGGAGCTTTCAGTTGTGCTGTTAATTCTTTAGTATAAGTGTTCTCCAGTTTCTTCATGTGGGCACTTAGTGTTTTGAACTTCCCCCGTAGCACTGCTTTCAAACTGTCCCATAGGTTTGTGTATGTTGTGTCTCCATTCTCATTGAATTCGAGGAAGTCTTTAATTTCTTTTTTTATTTCTTCTTTGACCCAGGGATGGTGCAGTTGAGAATTACTCAATTTCCATGAGTTTGTAGGTTTTCTGCATTTTGTGTTGTTGTTGAATTCTAATTATAAAGCATGGTGGTCTGATAAGATGCATGGAGTTATTCCAATTTTTTGTAGCTGCTGATGTTTGATATTTTGCCAAGTATATGGTCGAGTTTTGAGAAGGTTCCATGTAGTGGTGAGAAGAAGGTATATTCTTTTTATGTGGATGAAATGTTATATAGATGTCTGTTAATCCCAGTTGGGTCATTACTTCTATTAGACCCTTTGCTTCTTTGTTGAGTTTCTGTCTGGTATTCCTGTCTAGTGGTGAGAGCGGTGTGTTGAAATCTCCCACTATAACTGTGTGGGGCTTTAGATGTAATTTAAGTTCTAATAATGTTTCTTTACGAATGTGGATGCCTTTGTGTTTTGGGCATAGATGTTCAGCATAGACACTTAATCTTGGTGGGTTTCACCTGTGATGAGTATGTAATGAACTCCTTCATCTCTTTTGATTGATTTTATTTTAAAATCTAGTTTGTTAGATATTAGGATTGCTACCCTTGCTTGTTTCTTGGGTCCATTTGATTGAAAAATTTTTCCCAACCTTTAACTCTCAGGTAATGTCTGTCTTTGAGGGTGAGGTGTATGCAGCAGAAGGAAGGGTTCTGTCTTTGAATCCATTCTGCTAGCCT